GTTACTGGTCAGATTTTTTTAAAACCCCTTAGATAAAAAGTTATAACCATTTAAAAAATTGAAACACTTCGTGTAACTGTTGAGTATAGATTTCCTGCACTATATACATTACAAGCCTCTGAATTTTAAATATAAAAATTTAACTTTAAAAATTTCTATAATCACAATTGCTTATTAGTAAAGTTAAATATAAATTTAGCAATATAGTAAACTCAGACCAAAACCAATCTTTATTATTTAATTGAATCTAAGATTCAGACTAGACAAATAAATTTTTCAGTAGTTCCAGATTTTATAAAAATAGTTATAATCAAAAAATATGGCGTTACTTTTGCCGGCGGAAATATAAACATACATGCGCATATATGCGCATCGTATCGGAATTCGATCCACGGTAAGATGTTTATTATAACTTATACGTATCTGTCGCTATAGATAGTTTATTTTAATTTAGCATTTTTCAGGATAGTAATATTATATCAATATCAAAAAACGACGTATAACTTACAAGGGTTTTTTCTATAAAAAAAAAAAACACCTAAAAATAGTCATAAATTACAAGTGGTGATTCATATCTCTTTGTTTTTTTATAATGAGATATGAGTTATACCAATATCGATATGCAATGCATGCGTATTGCGTACGTACGTAAACACACAATGGCTGTCCAATGTGACTGTTCTTTATACGATCATATGCAATTTCTAACGTCATAGTATAAAGAATTATTTACGTTTGATTTCTGTGTAATAAACACTTTGGACTATTTTTAAATGGTGATATTAAATTCACGTGTAAATCTTTGTTGATTTCAGAACTCGTAACTTGTTATGTATAGTCACGAAGAATAAAGAGCTCGGTAAAGAATAATTGCAATAGTAATCGGTAAAGGTTCCAAGAGTTAAATTTTGAGGATTCTTTTTGAGAGTATCCATCAGCTAAACTCACAACGATAATCCATAAGTTTAAATATATTTAGTAAATGATTTGATAATTCAGAAAATACTGGACGGATCAACTGGTTTAGATCGATCCCATATCAAAAGACCAAACCATTAACATGCTTAATCTACAATGTAACAGAAGATCCAAAATCATAAGGTCATTTTTTTTCTAATCTGTGGGAATGTGTCATACTGTTTGTCGTTGAATAAACGCAAAATGAACATTATCAACCAATTAAAGTTGTAACAAACACGAAACTATCATTTAGACTACGAGGCTAACAATTTTAATGGTAAACGTCATTTGTATTCATTCATTATTTTTACACTCCACAAAATCTTTTCATGAAACTTTGTGAAACTTTCAGTGAAACCTTTTTCGTAAAACTTTCATAAAATTTTTCGTGAAACTTTAATGGTCATACAAAACATGCCTAATGTTGTCAACGAAGTGATAAAGGTTATGAATCAGTGACTATATAGTAATTTGGCATATACGTACGTACTGTATGTAAGTAGATACATACACCTGTAACTTAAACGATGTTTCACAGTAAAAATAATTTTAATAGAAAATAAATGTGTTACCTTCATCTTTTCGAAACAAACGTCAACCTTGTCGACTAAATCTAGATATATTTAAAGATGCATCGTTATTAGAAGGCACAAAAATTTGAGTAATTTAAAATTTCAGATGGATTGTACGGCATGAGATTTTTGTGTAAGATAACCTTTCTCGGGAGGATTAGCCCATTAAAAATATTTGCTAAAAACTAAAAGGTAAATCTCAAAATTAAAACAGTGCATTACTAATGATATCACGATATTTGAATGACCCAATTATAAATTCACATTTCATCAATTACCAATGAAATTTTTAATATCCATTTTACAAAGAAAGGGCGTTATAGATATCATCAAATGAAGTTTCAATTCGAGAAAATAAAAAAAAAACAATTTATCACCTTTTTTTCCTTATTTTACCACATCAATCGGTTAAGTATCCCGTTACCGAGTCCTGTCATTATTAAATGATTTTTTTTTTTTGTTCTTTGTGTGGATTTTTTGATTAGATGTTTCTTTCCTTGTTTATCTGCCCGGCGCTGTTTGTTAGGAATTCATGCATGATGCATAATAATGGACTAGTTAATTCTATGTCGATCAAACCAATCGAATGAATTTGCTTATAAGGCGGCCTAAAGATCGTTTGATCACATGATTATATAACTGCCTTTGCATCTTTGTATTTGATTTTCCTTTTATGAATTTATTGCTGTTGATTAAATTCGGAAAACAAGACATCTTAAATAACATTTAATAAATGCTAATTTAGTATATTATTTTCGACTATAAACATTATAAACCTAGATTTTATGCTTTTGGTAATTATGCATTACTATATTTATTGCGTTTACATATCTTTGTTTCCGGGGTCGAACCAAGCAGATCTTTCAAACTATCGGCTACGTATTATGGTAGAAAATCATAATTTCTATAAAAGCGTTATGAATATCTTTCATAAAAGTCGCGCATCTTCATCTCTAAAAAAAATAAAATTTTTTTTTTCTATTAGTCGTTCATAACCTAATATTAACTTTGCGATTTCATTATATTCCTAATTATTAACATTTAATAATGACACCATTTCTTATTTCCGAAGTACTTCGAGAGATTTTTTTACATATTGCAAATCCATGTGAATTATCCGGAACTTATTCGATTGAAGGATTACGTGCGCTTTATCCATGTATTTTTGTAAATCGACAATGGTGTCGAATAGCTATTCCAATTCTTTGGAGTCAACCTTTTCTTTTTGGAAAAGAAATTGATTATACTCCAATTATTTCAATGTATTTAAAATGCCTTGAAGATCATGATATAAAATCGCTTTTAAATCAAGGAATTGATATTTCGCTAATGACCGATTATAATCAAATGCAATTAGGTATAACAAATAAAAAACCTATGTTTAATTATCCAGGTTTTCTTCGTGTATTATATTATGAACAAATGATAAGTGCGGTTGTAAATTGGTGCGCCGAATTAGACGACATAATGGAACAACAACTTGAACAACAACAACCTGATTGTGATGATCTTATAGATGAAGATAATAATGAAAATAATGTAACGTTGGATAATAATGCCGAGGAAATTATAATGAAAACATTATTACAACTTTGTTTAAAACATGGTTCAAGATTATATGGTTTACATTTAAATCCTGACGAGTTAGAAGAAGATAATGATGAAATGTACGAAATATTGTTGATAGATAATCAATTGAAAAATTTAGTCTCTCCAGTTCGTTCATTACACATTTACGCATTTGTTATAAAAATAGAGTTGTATGAAATGTTAACGCAGAGATGTCATAAAGTTGTTAGTATCTTCATTATTTAGTCATTAGATACGATGCAATTTAATAATATTTTGTTGTGTGATATATTAACCTTTATTTTTTATTTTATTTATTTATTTATTTATTTATTTTAGGAACATTTGTACCTAAGCGAACTTTGGGCTCGACATCATGATGATAGGCTTGTTAATGCTTTTGGAGAAGCTATCACTTCGTTAATATCGTTACAAACCGCTTTAGTATCGTTCTCCCTGACATCCTGTAAAGCATATACTCGCGTATTTATTCCACCACTCAAACTACACTCATCCACGTTACGTTATATAAGATTCGATAAAGTCAACTTTAAGGGTTGTGACCCATGGTATAGCATAGCGGAATGCCGGAATATCGAACTTCTTGAAGTAATTCAATGTAAGAATTTAGAGGAAGAGATGGTTGGACCTGTGACAAAAGCAAGTTTTGGAAAACATTTTGAAGTTAGGTATGTGAGTGCTTATAATAATAATAATAAATTTAAAGATTGGGTTGATAAAGTTAGTGGAAGTGTTGTTGGTAACAACATATGCGGCGAAAAGTTAAATATTGGAAAAGGGATTTTCGCTTTACTAAGCGTATAAGATTTTATTTAAAAAAAAAAGAAAAAAACTTTCAAAAATTTATAAAACATGTTTAAAAGAACAATAGAAAGAAAAAAGAATATCGGCGATCTTGATGATTTGCGTGTATTCATAAAATCAAAAACAAATGGTTTAAATTAGTCTTAAGGATTATTATATGAAAATTTTGAGTTTATAAGCAGATTAATATTTAATAAAGATTGCTTATTTATGATTTTCTGTCTTTCTTCGTCTTTATGCATATTCAAATACTGTAGCAACAAACAATGTCGAAACGTTCCTCCGCCATTATACATTTTCCCCAAGTTTACTACTTGTCTTGTCTGCCATTAAAATTACTCATGTATATAAAAGTGATAAATACTTACGCAAGAACTTGCTGACATTAGTCAATTGATATTCATTTCAGAATTCTGCGCCATAACGAGCATTTTCCTAATAATTAACCAACTACACTCCTTACTTTTATATATTTAACGATATCTTAAACATTTACATTCTTTTGCAATTTGTATATTTTTTTTCATCCTAGCATTTATGCATTTACTTACGCATTTAATCATTTTTTTCATATATTTTTGCATATTCAATTTGTATATATACATAGAATAGACTTTATCTCATAATTTTCATTTTCCTGTGTGTAGCTCTATCTAAAATATTAAGGGTCATTTAGTGCATTTATTACTTATACACATCAGGAAATTTATAGATGTATAACGATAACTTTACCAATACCAATAGATAATGCAGACTTATTACGTTACTAGCCACGATTAACTACGGCTCAGCCGTACTTTATACGAAAAATCAATTTAGCATAACTTTTTATACGTATTGTAGTAACCTAGTTATGGTAATAAGCCTGTTCTTATAATATATTATATAACTAATGTTGTCATACATTGGCAAACTTAATATTACTAATAAATATGTTAATAAATTGTATATATATATACAATTTTATTAGACAAGGGTAACAAAATTTGTCCAAATGTTCGAATGAAAACATTTGAAAATATATCAACAAAAAATTATAGCATATATGCGCTTTAAAATATTTTGATCAAAAATGTTTTTATTATTAAACTAGGTGTAATACGAATACGTAGTAGTAGAGTATGGTTTAGTAAAGTAGTGGAGTATAATACGTTAAATTAGCAAACACGTGTGTATGGTTGATGAAGTTACTATTAAGTATAAATTAATATATCGCGTATAGTATGCAAACATATATAAATTTATGCAAATGCGATTTTAAAAGAATATCGGGTCCAATTTTTATAAAATTTGATATTTAGAGTTTAAAATGTTCGTTTAATAGTTTAAAAGCCCGAAGTCCAATATGGCTATTAAATAGCAAAATTCAATGGTCGTAACGATGTTTTATTTTCTTTTTTGTAAAATCGCTTTTAAAAATAGCTTCGAATGATGATAGTTCTGATGAGGAATCTATCCTATCGATTAGTAGCTCTTCTAAGAATGAAAATTTTTTCAAAGAAAATAATTCTTTTAATAATGAAAAAATAATTCTTTTAATGAGAACTTTGAGAATTTTGACATCAATGATACATTTGAAGATAGGTTTTCTGCGGGTTCTTTTTTCCAAGAAACTTATAGATCTTCACCTGAAATAGAAAGTTCAGAAATATTTCTTACATTATAAAGCACAGCACTCTATGTTACCATCTCAAGACATTCAAAAAATAATTAAAAAACAATTCTCAGAATTTGGTAAACCAGCATAATTGCATGTGGGAAAAAAGTTTGAAATAATAACAATAGTTTTTGTATCGCTATAATAAAGCTATCTCGTAAAATCTTAATTTATGAGAGTATACAATCCCGCAAAATCTTCATTTTTTTAAACACTTCTAAATTCTTTTTGGGGTACTTTCACATATCGTTATATTTTAATTACAGAATTTTCGTGAGGTCACATATATATGTAATACATATTATGAGTATAGTATGCAAGTTTTTATATACTCAAATGCGATTTTTGTAGCATACTCCACTACTTTACTAAACCATACTCTATTACTATTCGTAATACCGGTGGCTCGACCCGTTGTTGAACAACGGTAAAAACAAATCACGTGATGCGAGACAGATGAATTTTTGAATTATAAATTATTGTAGAGATATCTTTAATAAAAAAAAGCATGTTAGTGTAATAAAATCCTATGGCTTAGTACTGATTTTGGTGGGATAAAAAAAAAAAAATTATTTGATTACGGTTTCTGGGAGGGGTGTTAACTCGTTGAGAACGAGCTATATCAGTTGCAGTTAACTACATAAGCTGGTTACATGAAACTGGTTCTAAGTTTTGTATAGACGGTTTATTAAAACTAGCTAACTAAAGTTATTAAACTATTTATGCTAATGAGCAAGAATTATGTTTGACTAAAATTTTATACATGATAGCATTCTTGATTTAAATACATAAATTATATAACAGCTTACGAATTACCGTAAAATCTCGAAATAGCGGGCATGGGCGTTATTTCGAAACTTGGCCCGAATTAAGCTTAATTCGGGCTAAGTTTCGAAATAACGCCCATGCCCGCTATTTCGAGATTTTTATGACGCATCAACATACGTGATAAATCAACAAGTTCGGCCGGTTTTGGTTCAACGATAACGGTTTGAACCCGAATTGAGTCAATACAATTTTAGTTTCTGATAGGGATCTAAAAAAGAACTATGATTTTGAACATATTTCACTATAGTGGTGTAGTATTTTAGAGACTCTTTTTTGGAATTCTATCAAGAGCAGTGTGTAAATTGATTTACCCTAGTATCAGGAATAGTATCTTTGCATTCTGTATTATTAATACTAGCAAAATTATTAACTATCATTTCATCAAATTTTTAGACTTTTAATCTATCCAATAAAGTTCATAAGAGCCTTTTATATGCTTAGAAATATAAGGCCTAGCGAGTTTCTAATTTAATCCCTATAAAAAAATTTTTAAAAAACATATCCGACTTTCACCAGGTTATTTTTCCATTTTTTACGGGGCAATCCCCAAAGTTCCTGGTCAGAATGCATCGGAGTTAGTGTTAGGGTTAGCTATACTGGTTAGTAAAGTTTATTTTATCAGCTGGGCATTTTTTACTTAATGAACGGTTATAGTTTCATTAGTAAAGTTTTAGTGATCTTGGGCGATCAATTCTGGCCCAGCCGACCAGGGATTTTGGAGATCCGCCTGTATAAATTCATTTTTCCGGAATAAGACATATATAAATTCCTGGTTATTTCTATAAAGCCCTGGTAGTTTCCAGATAGAAATAAAATCCAGTTAAAATTCTGGTCTTGGTTTTGATTAATTGCAAAATATTAGAATCCGAATGTTACTCGAATTTGATTTTTATCCGGAAATTCCAGGATTTTATAGAAATAACCAGGAATTTATATGCGTATGGGAAAATTTCCAATTTTAATAATTTTTATTATGCATGAACCAATCAAATGCAAGATTTGGAGTGACTACTGAGATTAAAGGTGAATCATCGTAAAATTTCTTATGAGATACTTATCAGTTGCTTATCAGTTTTTTATATAGTTCACTTGATGGGTCCTTAGATAATTTACGAGCTTTTATCAGTTTTTATACAGCTACTCTATAGCAATTAGGCCATCACATTTAATTTTAAAAATCACAATGTTCTGACTGGAAATTTTCGCCCATACGTATTCCGAGCATTTTCCGGAACAATAAACCTGGTGAGAGTCGGGGTATGCTTTCCTAAAAATTTTTATAGTTTTATGCACTGTAACGGTGCAGGAAATTTAAAACCATCAAATCTCCTTATATAGAGATTAGAAATGGGTGAAATACGTACGTACGTATAAAATTTCATTTTTAGCATGCACATACATTTTTTGTATACATGCATGCATGTTTTGACTAAAATTATGATTTAATTTTTTAATGCTGGCCGGAATTAATTGCATGTTTTGCATACCTGTGTGCAATTCTTAAATTATCGATCTCAATAAAGTGAAGGTTCTAGAATTCTCAATCTTTTTGCATAGAAGTGTTACGCCAGAAATAATATGTACTTATTGACAACTATGTCATTATTGAGAACGATATATTTAGCATATCTTCAATGAATTAGTTGACATTTGTTCCATATACCAGTAAAGTGATTGAGGTTTTTAGACTTCATGCACCGTACGTACGTACGTCACATCGGGCGTCCGAAGTAGAGTGTTCGGGGTATTGCAGTGGCAGAATCTGTCAGAAATTCTGCGATATAGTCTATTGTGATGATTCTCAAAAAAAGTTTTTATAAATATTGCTATTTCAACCATTTAAATAGGTACTATTAAGTACATATTATTCTCGATATATTATTTCTATGAGAATTTTAGATTTTAATGTATTATCTATACATATAGAGATTGAGGTTTTTAAATTTCCTTCACCGTGCGTTGAGGATCACAAGCAATTACGAATCGATTTCAAATGTAAGTACCCACCAGATGCGATCACAGAATTTTAAAACAGCGATAATTAGGTTCTGGCTCCGCATATATAATTTCTAGTTTTTACTTCTGAAGAAAATATGATCAAAATACCCAGGAGCGACGCATGTCTTGGAATGAAAGAAAATTTAATGTCACTTAAAGAACTTGTTTCTAAAAAGAGCGATGATGAGAGTGCATTTAATGATGATAATATCATTAACATTTTCAAAAAAAAATTGTCCTAAAAAAACTAGACTCATTAGAATCATCACCTTTATTGTTCGTTAAAAACTTATTGAAAATATAAATTATATATTTCTTTGATGTCATTTCTCTTTTAATTTTTTTAATTATTTCTAATCCTAAAATATTTATCTTTCATATTATTGTTATTGTTCTTATTGCTTTTTTTACTTTTTGTTTACTATGGGTCATTGGTATTGCTTTTTTATATTCACACGTTGGAGGAGCTGATGAGTAAAAGTAATAAAGTTGATCAAGAGAGTAAGAGTAATAAAGTTGATCAAGAGAGTAAGAGTAATGAGGTTGATCAAGAGAGCACAAATAATATAGTGTATAAAACGGCGAATAATAATAACCTGGAAATGTTGGTGTATGAGATGATAAAATGTGTTAGACAATATCAATATTTTTAAAGTAAAGTTACGAACAATAATTTGAGGAAGAGAAAGTCTTTATTTATATTAAAATATCTAATATGGTTAATTACAGATATGAAAAGATGGTATGAAATATATGAAAAGATGGTATGAAATATATGAAATATAATAATATTTTTGTGAAAAATTTGAATGCTTACATATGCAACTTTATAGAGAGCTGTCATGATATAAGCCAGTTAAACTAAATAATACAGTGGAAGCACTGAGAGAACAGAAAGGGTGCTTTCTTTGGATACAGAATCTTCAACTAGTCAAGGTCAAGGATATCCAATCAATATATAATAGTGTAGATAATAAACACTATAACGATAAACACTGTGAGATAAACACTATAAGACAAACACTATGAGACAAATACTGAGACAAAAATATAATTTGATTGGCTGGTTATAAAAAAGATCGACATTGTTTTATTTCCAAATTTGGGGCATCCACGGGTTCATGTTTAAATTCCGTGGCTTGGAATATGAACCTGTGTAATTGAATTACTTACTACAACTACTATAGTATATATTAACTCTATACTTATCATTATTTCTTAATTCCGGAACAAAGCGAAGGGTTATATGCTAGTCAATATATAATATATAATAGTGTAGATAAACACTATAACGATAAACACTATGAGATAAACACTATGAGACAAACACTATGAGACAAAAATATAATTTGATTGGCTGGTTATAAAAAGATCGTCTTTATCTGATTTCAAAATTTGGGACTATAGCGATAGCAACTATAGTATATATTAACTCTATACTTATTTCTTAATTCCGGAGCAAAGCGACGGGTTATATGCTAGTAGATATAATAAATGATGATACACGTATAATAGATAAGATAAAAGTTAATCAGGTCAAATATGTTAAAATAGAAGACACTCAAAATAAGAACAGTGAAACAGAGAAATGGTTAAGAAGCTAATTAAAGAAACATTGAAGAGAATGATAACAAAAAAGTGAGTAATGTGAATGTCGCTATGGATGGTATAGAAATGAAGATGGGAAGTAATATTAAAGATTAAGAGATTTCGGACGAGATTAAGAAGCGAAAAGATTCAATTAGGAATGATTCGAGTGAACATAAAAGTTGATTGATTCGATTGAGAATATGATATATCCATTAGATAAAAACATTGAAGAATGTAATATCTCTGAAGGATAATAACATAATAAAAATTTATTTTAATGATAGAAACCCTTATTCAAAAGCCTTTAAAAATTACATGGGTTTAAAAAATCTTCATTGGGTATCTTTACCTTTTGATATTTCCAACCTCTTTTTTTTTTTAATTAGTTTGCTATCGATGGATTGGGATGAGTTAAAAGGTGCACTAAAAAAGATAATGAGAAATTGAAATTTTATGAAAAATTTTTTACATATTGCGTTACCCTTATTTTGTTTCCTCCTCCTTTTTCTATAAATTTATTAATTGCTTTTATAACGAATATTCGGGAAAAAGAATAATACCAATGATAATCCTAATAATAATTATCCTAAACCTTTACAGTATTATATGCGGGTATGTTTAGTTTGCAACTAAAGTGAATCGAAATGAATAGCAAAGAAAAAGCAATGTTTAAGGACTATCAATGGATAGTGGCTATTTGTTTGAATGCATTTTTTTAAATGAAAATCTAAATACAGTGCATGATATTTAAAACTAAATTTAAAAAAAAAAAATTAATAATTAAATCTTGATATTTTTAATCTTTGGTTATTATAAGATTTTAATCTGCTTAAAAAATTAATCTCAATCACGTTTGTCTATATTTCAATTTCAAATTAAAAACTTTAATTCGGAGAAAAGAAACCGATACTATTTTTTGCCCTGGATTGTTATTGAAACTGTCATACGCTACAAATATTGTTTTGATGCTCAACTTGGGAATATACCGTTTCGCACTACATATAGTATCCAGGTCTTGTTCAACCCTTCGTTTAAAATTGTTTATATAGAACCGGATATATATTTGCATGGAAGTAATAAGTTAATATAATTATACTTTGATCTTATCAAGAAGCAGCACAGTATGACAGTGAGTAATACTCGGGTCTTAATCGCATCGGTATTATTATTTTGTGTGAATATTTTATGCAGTTCTAGGCGATATATCCAATAATTATATCATGACTATCAAAGTTATCCGAGTAAAGGCATTCTTCTAGTCGCTCATCGACCAAAAGAGACAAATATAATCTATTGACATAAGATCCTCACGTCAACATAATGTGTAGGATAACCTTGAATATGTATCATTTTTTATTAACAACATCATAATATTCTTGCGCGAGTGGGTAATTTGACACACATAGGTTTTTCAGCTATACAGCAAATTATATTAGTACAATTCGATTTATCTCGTTGAGATTATTCAAATTATGTAAAAATCGCATTGTTCTAATTATTGAACCACAAAATAAATGATCAAAATATTATGGTTCATGTACCACTTACGTGTTCAATTTTTTCTTTTAGTTTTTTTTTATATTTCCTCATTCAGACAATATCTGGGAAGATGCAGTACAATACGTAGTGCACCATAATACCCCAACCTGAAAAAACATGGAAGATTTTAATAGAATTTGAAATCGAAGTTTTTTTTTTTAATTCGGCTTTTTTTTCTTTATCGTTCGATAGAAATCGAATGTTTTTATTATGCTAAATTTTGTAAATAAATATGCTTTTCCTACATGTGCAACGCTTAAGCATAAAAGTGTTAATTATGGATAACAATGACTAAATTTGTAATTTATGCATAAATGAATATTATTATTTCATAATTGAAATGTTGATTACAAATTCCTGAATTCACGATATCTAAATATGATTATATGTGGTTGAGTCAATGGAAACCAAGCAAATATTTTTTAATAAGTTTTTAAAAATTTTAAACAAGGATAACTTATCAAATTTACCGTATAACCGCGAAATAACGCACAGGGGCGTTATTTTGAAGTTTGGCCCGAATTGAGCTTAATTTAAGCCGAAAATTGAAATCACACCCCTGCGCGTTATTTCGCGGTTATACGGGTAATAAATTTTTTTTTTAAAATTAATTTTACAAGTTTGTAAATATTATTTAAAAAAATTTTACAAGTTTGTAAATATTATTTAAAAAAATTTTTATTAAATTTGGTCAAAATTTTGCTAATAATATTGTTAAAGTTTAGCCCAATAATTATTAAACTATTCAAGAAAAGGCCTTTGATTTAAAATTTCTAAAATGATTTTCTTGCAAGCTTAGAAAGTTGTAAAGTTTATTTTTCTCGTTATAATAAGCTATATTTCAAGCTTGTAGGATGTTCTATAGAATAGGTGGGCAAATTCCGTAACTCCGCTAAATATCTATTAATGATTACTAATCATTAGCGGAGTTTATTTTTATATTGCCCACCTATTCTATAGAACATCCTTAGTGATACAATAAAGTTTTCTTGTAATGACATGATATTAGTAAAAAAAATATTTGATCTATATTAGATATTGCAGTTTTTTGAATAATATTGTTAAGGAATGAAGGTTTAAAGGTAAGTGAATTTTTTGCAGGATAAACCATTTTTTTTGGTTTGAATAGAGATTGTTTAATTTAAATAACTGCTCAAAGGTTTTTATACTAGTTATTAAACAAATTTATAGTAATTTGTTAGCCAAGTTATCTAGAATTACTTATAGTTTAAAGAACAATATTTTGATAAATTTAAATATTTTTGCATTATACAATACTATTATTCACAGTATTAAATAACTATGCTATACCGTATTTCATTAATTCGAATTTAGACTTTTTTGGAAAAACTTAGTGAAATAATGCTCATACGCGTCCCGAAATAACGCGCACACCACCTTTTATGTGGTTAAGAAATCTTATTTTTTCTGACATAAAACAAAATGCCGTTTGAAAAATTTATTTAATGTGCAATTTTTAATTAATTTGAAACTTCACATTTATAAATTTTAATATTTCAAATTATAAGCATAAAATTTATTTTTATTTATTAGTATATATTACATTATTATTACTTTTATAATTCCTAAAATTCATTGGCTTAAGTATTTATCATTCTCAGTACCGGCTAATTTCAGTGTGCATAGAATAATTGCTATTAAGTACATCATACATACATAAATTTAATTTTCCCGTTGCTAACTTGGTTATTATAATACGTCCATGTGTGTTTATTTCAATATAAGTGTTTGAAATTTTTTTACTCAAAATAACGCACAGGGATCTAAGATAACACACAGAGGGGCGTTATTACGGTATACAAGTTTACCATACAAAAAAGTTTTATTAATAAGTTATTTTATAATTTTTAATTTAGCCTCTACAATCACGAGAATCAGAGTTTGTAGATTTTAAAAAATTTCTACAATTTTAAATAATAATTGGCTAAATTTTTATTAAATAATTCTTATAATTTATATAACTAGTTATATAGTAGATTTTTGAAAACTTTTAACAAAAGTTTTTTTTATACAGTATATTAGGTTATATGATTGGTATATATAGATGAATTTTTTATTTTAATTATATAAAATTTAAAAGGAAAACTGAGTTATAACAGATAAGAACTATTTTAAAAGTTAAGGATTATATAAGTAATAAATTTGTGATCGATGTTCAAAACGGTTTTGAAACAAATACAAAGTTAATTCGAACTCTAACTATTGATAAGCATCCTACAATCACATTATTTACTGGATACAAATGTTACTAACATAAATATTGGTAACATTAGGAATAATGAACTACTGAAAGATTGTGTCTAAAACTTATATAGTACGTGCTACGTGTGTAAGTATATCTAAACACATGAGCCCCGTATATACTGAGTTACGTACGTACCGTAATTCCAAATTTTCATGCACCTACGTGCATATGTACAAGGATAAGTGACCGACTTTTCTACTGTATCTGCTATTGATATAAAATAAGAATTTTTTGAGATTGCCAAGAGATAATTTCAAATGGTCAAATTAATTCACAATCTACTTAAGATTTGTCGTTTGTAAAAGTTTTTTTAGTGTGTGAAAATTTTGTTAATAATTAAATTCATCGATACGCACAAATAATTTTTCCTATAAATAAATATAACATGTATGTGGTTAATCTCATTCAAATTTTTTGTACAGTACGTAGTACTAATTACTTAATATAAATATAATCAAGTTTAGCACTTGAATGAGCGTAAAAAAAAAATTGAAATAATGTATTGATGTAGGAGGTAATGGGTTAGTCTCCTATTGGTCAATCTTGTTTTATTTGTGGTAATAACGTCTATCAAAAAAAAATTTTTTTAGCTTTTTATGTACTTAGCATTATGCGAAAAAGATATCTATTATTTATAGGCGACCACGAAGACGCCATAGAAAGAATATAAAGGATATAATTATTCTTTTGTTTGGTAATATGACAATAAGATTGACAACTACAGAACACAAGAATATTGAGTAACATTCCCAAATAATGATTTTGTAAACCGAATATAGTATTACTAACTTTTAAGGTGTTTGAAGAATTTAACTAGAAAGGAAGTAGGTACTAAAATATCACGGTTTTACTCAATAATTGAAGATCCAAAGAAACGATGATACCCGAGGTAATATAAAGATTGGTACTTAACATCAGTAATTTCTATTTAAGGAGCACCGAGATTTATGCGCCATGAAATTTTCAAATAATCAAGATCTAATTAGTTTTTTTTTTTACAAGTACAGTATACTGTACAATAATGGGTACCCTAATCCTTACACGTAGGGAGTTATATTTTAATAATTGACAAAATTGGAAGACAGCGAATGGATAAACAGTAATGCAGATGCAGTTACGTTAGAATTGAATAAATTAAACGAATAAACAGGCTTATGACATTACACCAAGACAAATTCATATCGTAACAATAGAGATCATGTGAACATATGACGCGCTTTTATATTTAGGGATATGCTCTATGAATAATTTGAGTTCATTCATAAATATAGATATTTATTGTCTGGAACAGTCTTCTATGCATCTAACACAAATTTTTATAAAACGCGCATGGGTTAACGCGACATGGATGATAATCATATTAGTTCATAGCGCATTACTAACTTAAGTGAGCTTTACGTATTAAGTAAAATTCCGTGTACAATGTAATTAATGAATCGTTATGTTACGCGAAGTTGGAGCCATTTAATATGTAGAATAAACATATACATTTTAGGTTTAATTGATGTACCTAATTCTCAAAAATTTGCAAAGTCGTGTGGTGAGTAATTGACGCGCGGAAAAAGATGCGGAGAAACTGCAAGATGAATAATTAAGACCAAACACACAAAATGATGAAAATTATTAAGGAATAACTCAATTATTTTAAGAAATACAAAATCTTTTGAATTTTCGGTGCTACGTTTTCAATTGGTTCATACTCGAAATATTGATTTGTGAAATGTATCTCAAGTGCAAAGGAATCTTCCGTACAAAAAGTAAATATTTACACTTTATATACTGAACAATATTCCGGTATTTGCCGTTATTGTAAAAGTTTCTAACAATTTAATTTAAAAGGACTTAAAATCATTACAGCCCCCGGTAAATAATGATGCCTTTTTTTTCAATTAATAATAATAATAATAATAATAGCGATAATAATAATAATAATAATAACCCGTTCAAACTTATATAATATAATATATATATAGTATATAAACCTATAAAACCTAGTATTCATTGTGATATCCTTATAGCATTAATATAGATTTAAAGATATATAATTATTTTAATAAATAAATCGTTTCTTGAGTATTTAAGTAAACTCGTTCATAATAACGAATTATACTTATTATTCGTCATTAATTTCAAAATGGTTGTTATATAACTTAAAAGTATGTATTTCTTTCCGTATAAATTTAGAAAAATAAAATAGTCTCAGATCAACCATTTTGAAAATATATACAGTATAAAAATATATATTACCAGTTCAGCAGTTACTGTATTAAATGATAAACTAACTTTGTATGCTAAATAAACTTAATTACGATGGGCCATAGTTCAAGGGTTTGAAAATGCCATTTACCAAACTGAGTTTGGTTTATTATAATTATTCGGAGTTTACTGTTTTTGATAAAGTAGGCGAAGGATGCATTTACAAGGCAATGTGGGACACCAAATTAAAATAATTCATAGACTTTTCTTAATAGGTTTAATTGATTACTTCTTAAAATCTTTAAACCTTTTAAAATTAAGAAATAAGCCTTTTAAAAACTGTATTAGGCATAATTTGTTACTATGAACAAGGTATTTACTTGGTAACAATCATTTTATCGTGTTCTTTCATGTTCTATAATTTCAAGTAAATAGATTTTTATATGCTATGTTATATGCTATGTAAAACTTGTTCATAGTGACTGACTATTTTTAGTCTGTATATTTGAACAGGAATTATCTAAATTAGAATCAAGGATAGCGATATCATTAGGATTGAGGCTAAATCATCACATATAAATAACTAGTAACATGTGAATTAAAATTCACACGTTACTAGTTCTTTTCATGCGATGATTTAGCATCACACCTCCGTGCCTCAGCTATTGTAATAGACATTGAGTTACGACTGATAAGCAATCTCGGAATTCATCAAATTAATTCATTGAAATATAAGTAAGATCATCGAAATTCCAGAATTTCGTCACGAAATTATTTTTGAATTTCGGCCGGGACACTAATCCGTAAACAGGGGATAGGTTATTGTTTACAAAGAGATTTGCATCTCGTATTACGCATATTGCATCTAAAATTTATTTTTAATAATAATTGTATCTCACCAAAGCTATTTGTTCTCTTTTTGTCTTTGAAAAATAAATAAGATTTTTGAAATAGGAAATACCTTATTTCGTTCAACTCTGACTACCGTGGCATAAAAGACATAAGAGAATAAAAAAAGATCACCAGTTCGGTTTGTTCAAACGAACCGTGTGGAATTTAATTTAATTTTTTTTTTTTTTTGCTGGGCATGGGACGCTTCAAAATTAAATTATAAAAGATTTAACTTAAATTTTCATGTGTATTTTTATGTATAATTTTACTTTAGCCTATTGTATTTTAACTTATTAACAATTATATTAGATAGAATTTTGAATAAATATAAACAAAAAACCATCAAACGGCCCAACACTACTTTTTCAAAAGGTCTCTCAAAATGTTGTTTATGTTAATATAAAAAAAAATTCCTTTCTTAATAGTTTGGAATTCCCTCTTCTAGTATATTCCGTTATTCCTTTTATCTTTTTAGTCGTCCTTTATTCATTTAATCTGTTAAAGTCTTTGCTATTTCAGTATTCTATTGTTTCCTTTGAATACTTTTTATTTTCAGCCTCAAAGAATTTTAATGACAAAAAAGTATCATTATAAACAACACAGAGGCATTCCGACTTTTACCCATTATATATCCTTCCTTTCACAGTAAACGAATACATTAAGAAGAAAAAAAAAAAAACAAAAAAAAGAAAACAAAAAAAAAACAAACAAATACGAAACGCATACATTTATACGTACCTTTTACTTCTCTCCAATAAGTAGTCATCACATTCTTATACAAAAAAATGTCTTCACTACCTACGGACTCTTTCAAAATTTCCATCACAACTACAACCACAACCGAATCGAATAATAATATTATAACGTCACAACCTACCAGTTCTCCTGAACCTGAAAATGCAAATTCATTAGGCGTTGAAACTCCTGAGAAAATAACGAAACATGCTTCTCAAATATCTTCTATATATACAAATCAAGAGTTAAACCGATCAGCAACGTCGTTATCAACTGTTGACTATATAGTTCCTTCAAATGATCCAAGAAGTTCAACACAAATATTCAAATTACAAAATATTGATTATTCTGCATTTTCAGATATAAGTCCGTTGGGTGATGGTAAAAGTATTAAAATTTTTGTATCAACATGGAAAAATGATAAAGATATGAGTAGAGTTGCTTTAAAGAAAGTTGAATCACTAGTAGCTTTTTCACAAGCACTTAAAGAGGACCCTAATGAAGCTAGTGAAAATAAATCTTTGGTTGATAATGTACGTGCTATTATAAAAATGTTTAATAATCTTTTACTTTTTAATTTCTCAAAAAATATGCGCTTACCATTTTATTATATTATATATATATATATATATATAATGTATGCTAATTAAAAAAATAGATAAACTTGCTTTACAAATTAAGTTTTCACCAGAACATACTTTCAATATTTGGTTATAGTCAAAGTAAGTATTCTTTATTTATTATTATTGAGTAATAAATTTAGATGCGTTAACTTAAAATTTATTTATTATAGATCCTGAAAGTAGTGATTATTTTATGATATTACAATATACTGATGGTGGAAATTTACGGAATTATCTTCAAGAATACCATTCAAAACTTTCTTGGACTGATAGAATAAGATTAATTATTAACATAGCAAGTGGTTTACAATACATACATAATCATGATATTGTTCATCTATCATTGGTAAGCTTATATTTATTTATATATACAATACGCTTAATTTTTAGTATCATAAAATTCTTAATTTTTAACATTATTTTTTTATATATTTTATATGTTTAAAGTATCCACAAAATATACTTGTTCACAATGGGCAACTCATGATTTCGGATCTTGGAATCTCTAAATCATCTATACCTAAAAAATCTTCTGTAATCCCAACATTACCTTATATAGATCCAAATTATTTAGCTTCTCCAACTACGTATCCGCGTGAAAAACATTTGGATATTTATTCACTAGGTGTACTAATGCATGATGTTTCAAGTGGTAAACAACCATTTGAAACTTTACCATATAACCAACTTTTAGCCATAAGGATATTAGAAGGTTTAAGATTAAAACCTGTAAATGGTACACCTCTTGAATTAGTAGATTTATATGAACAATGTTGGGACATTGATGCAAATATTCGTCCAGAAATTTCGGATATTTTAGCTAGGTTAGGAAGATTAAAACTTGATCCTGTTTGGGTTGATAATGATGAAATTGCAGGCAATGGTGGAAAAAAGAAATTGCCTACTGTAGAATATAATGATGATATTAAAGGGATTATTCTGGAGAGTAAGCAAGCTTTTGGAACTGGAAGTGTTAGTTTCTCTAATGGAAATATTAGTTCAATTAGGGATGTTGAAATTAATGAAAATGAAATTTATGGTATGTTGTTATTTTTTTCATGACCTCATATAATATGTATAATATGTGTGTTTTATTATAAAAATTAACATTGTGTGTCTACCCTTACCGTAGGCGAAGAAGAAGATATTGAAAGTATGTTTCAATTTTTGGTGATTTTTTTATGCTTCTATTTTCTTTATTTCACTCTTTCGTTACTAACCTTTTCTTTGCTTATTGCGGTTTTTACACTATTATAGAAGGTTGCATTCGAAGACGTCATAAATTTGGTATATTTATATGTTGGATAGTAATATTTTGCACTGGTGCCTTTTCTATTTTCTTCTTTGCTGTTATAAAATTTGCTACTAGTAAGAGTTAACATTACCTGGTTTTGGCTAAAGTTTTTATTCATTTTTCCTGCGTATTATAAAATTCCTTCGTTTAATCAAAACTTTTGGTTATTGGTACTTTTTGTTAATTTATTTTTTTTTTATTCTTGACGAATAATTTGTATTATTATAATTGTTTTTTTTTTTTTTTTTTGATATATATAAATGTATAGTTCTTCTTGTTTTTAATACTGTAACGAAAAGATTTTGCCTTTATTTTGTTTAGAAACCTATTATTGAGCGCACGTTAATATTTTTTTTTAGTGAAAACTGGCGGTGTCATACGTGTAAAATCCCTCTTACTGATTTTAATGTTTTACTGATTTTATATGCAAAGAAAAATTTTTTGTTCTAACACATTAATTATTCTCTTACCTTTTTTTTTTTTTCTCAAGCATCTTGTTTTTATTAATCTTGTGCGTCTAAATTATTTTTTATCGACTTTAAATCGAGATAGGTTGCACCAAAAATTAACAGAATTCAAAATAAACTTGAGTGATAAGAGAATTCAATTTTCAGTAATTCTTGCTAAAACTTGCTTTATTAACTTTCTAGATATAAACGAATACAAAACTCTTGAAATTAGTTTTTAAAGTCGTTCGGTTTTTTTCAAGATCACAGGAGGGTATTTAGTAAAAATACCCTGATCCGTATGTGTACAAGCGGAAACGAAGTTTTCACTAATACCCAACGGCTCTGGATTTTTTATTACGAAATAATTTTATAATGAATTATATCGTATTTTCGTGAAACAATACCTATGAGCGTTATTTCGAAGCATGTATAAGAAGAATGTTAATAATTAACATAATTATTTGTTATTAAAAAGTTTCAGCCAAATTAATTACCGTCGTGTATAAGCGCGAAATAACGTAGTTCGGGACATTATTCAAAATAACGCCCTGCGCGTTATTTCACGCTTATATGGCATTAGCTCTTTAAATTACGTGTTTCGAAACGCCCATGAGTTATTTCGCGGCTATTTTGAATTTTTTTTTTTTTTTGAATCCGCTATAACTTTTTATAGAATTTTTTTCAAAACCGAATTTATCATTATAGTCTTAACATTTACGGCGAATACATTATCGTTATTACTGTTTCTGGAATCTATTATTTAAAATCAGTCACTTTTAAACGCACAATTACGTACTAATAAAACTTCACAACATAGCACAGATTTCGTAATTGTCATCGATTCTGCAGATCATCATGTAACAATTGTCGAAGCCGTGGTGAAATTTTTCAAACTTTGAGCAAAAATATATCTTATTTAAAATCGGTAAAAAATTTATTTTATTTCTATGAATCCATAGTTTTTTTAAAATCAATTTTAGATAGGTAGTTATTGAGATATCATCACTCAAAGTTTGGAAAAACTTAACCGTGATCTTTGTTTTGTTCTTTTTTTTTGAACTTTGAGCGATAATATCTCAATAACTGCCTATATGAATTTGATAAAAAATTTTTATTTTAATTCTATAAATTCACAGAACTAAAATAAATTGTTGAATTTAGATAAGCAGTTTTGAGTTATCATCGCTCAAAGTTCAAAAAAAATAAAAGATCATGGTTAAATTTTTCCAAACTTTGAGCGGTGATAACTCAATAACTACCTATCCAAAATTGACGAAAAAAAAATTATTTTAATTCTATAGATTCTATAGATTCGTAAAATTAAAACAAGATAAGCAGTTATTGATATATTTTTGCTCAAAGTTTGAAAAATTTCATCACGGCTAGGATTTGTACGTGATGATCTGCAACATGCATAACAGTCGATCGAGATGTCACACCTAATATGATTTTCATAAATTACACAAATTAACGAAATCACATTTTTAAAATTTTCTCCCCGAGTCTTAGTCACAACACATAACGTTTTTTAAACAAATAGATTTCCAGGGCTTCAATGAATCAAACAGTACGAAGAATAAAAAAAACTAACATTACCAGGTAATGTGAGACCCCTTCGAAGATGGGCAACTATTTTGCCTTCTTTCACAAAATTCTTTTGGAGTTTTCAAGATCTTGACATGAAAAATAGCTTGTTAGATACACACGAGTAAGAACTTTCTGTGAAATGCATCTTTGAAAGAAGGGTATCTTATAAAAATATAGAGTAAATTAAGAAAAATTATTTTGTAGTATATAGATTGCAATTTTGCTAATAAAGTTTTTTTTTTTTTTAATATATAGCAACCTATTCACAGTAAAACTATATTTTTCTATTATTTACACTTTCACTGTATTATAATTTATTGCACCAACAATGCTTTACAAGAATTCATAATATGGGCCTGGTGCTGAGAAAAGAGATGAATTTGACAAAAAAAAACAGACACAAAAAATTAATTACCTTGCAAACTATTAATCAGAATTATGTAATTTTGGTACCATTCGATTTGTCTCATTGAGATAAATTGAAGGTACCAAAATTACACAATTCTGATTGATAGTTTACAAAGTAATTAATTTTTTGTATCTGTTTTTTTTTGTCAAATTCATCTCTTCTTATCTATATGGCTAGGTGAATTAGCTTGATATTGTTTTTTTTTTAATTAATACAGTAATAAATACATGTTTGTTAAATATTTATATACAGTAATAAATGCATGTTTGTTAAATATTCATATAGTATAACTATAAGTTTGTATTATATAGTATAAGTGCCTATAGTAATAATTTAATTCAATACATAGTTTGTCCTTAACAATAAAATATAATTACATTATTTTAGTAGTTTATTATTTTTTGTTAAAAAGCTTTTAAAAAATCAGAATAAAGTTGTTAAAAAGATCTATATTACATAAAAATATCTTTACAAATCAATGAAATGTTAAGATCTATTGTATTGTAAGTAGTATAAAATATAAAATAAAAGGCTCTCTTTGTGAGCAAGATTCTTTTAATTTTGTTTTTTTATCTCATTTTAAACTTACTCATCACATAATATTTAACTTTCTGAATATTTTCTACATTCTGTAAGTGTGGTTTCTTTTAGGAAACTCCTAAAAACAATGATTGAAAATAGTAACCATTAAATTTACTATAAAAATCGAATTTCTTATTTTTTTTTTTTTCAGTATTAAGGTGACCTCTATGGCCGGGGACTTTTTATTAAGTAGATTCAAACATTACAATTATAACGAAGGTACATCAAGCCACACATGCACTTTTGGTGCCTAATTTAAGTAGTTCGCCCAAAGTGGTAGTGCTATGCTAAGGGTACTACACTATCTGCTATACCTGCACCTCAACTAGGGGAGTACCCATTTAAACCCTCTGGCTACAACTGGTCAGTGGCTTCTACCTAACCAAGGCATAACTCACATATGTATAGAAATAGATTTTGCTATAGATTTCGCACCCATCTTAGGACTTACTAAACCCCATATTGAGCCTAGTCAATCCACGAGGTAAACCTAACAGAGTAGTTCATGTCTCACACATGTTTTTACCTGCATGTTCAGTAATTTCTTCCCAATTAGTACCTATTGTCTGCCACCATTGTGTTCGTATCTCATGCCACCTTTTGGGGTACTACTATAACACAATTTGTATCTCAAGTACAACCTTCCTAATTAGTTTTCCATTATGTACTCCTGCCCTTGTTCAGTTCACAACAACCCCAGTACCCACACTTCAACTGTCTTTTTACCCAAATTCTCTATCGGTCCCTTCCTTACTTCCAGCCAGCAACCTGAATGGGTTGGTCTGCCCAGGCTTTAAGTGCTTGAAGGATGCCCTCCTCTTGGTCCATACTTTCAGAGCATATAGCCTTTCCTCTAGTACATCTAAACTGGCAGTTCAGCTGGTGTATTCCTCCACTAAAGGACCTCGGACCCCAGTTCAAATTCAGCCTTCATGTAGTACTGTCGAAGATCACTGCTATCTCCAAACTCAGGACTTTCCAAATGGGCTTCAATCTCCAGTTCTATGACCTGTGCTATGCACAGCCCACAGATTACAACCACCCAGAATTGCTTCACTGGTGCCCCAGGCACCTGAGTCACTAGGTCATCCATAGGCCAACCTTAATGAAGATCATCATCTGACATATTCTGTTTTCACTATTTCTAAAAGCATCTTCCCTGAGATTCAAACCTTGAGGAATATACTATTACCATTTGGAGAGGGTGACGACTAGACCACTTCACTAAGGCATCACACCTCATAATTAAATTTCTTATATAAGCATCGATAACTCAAATTTCATAGTAAAAAATTTATTCACCTAATTTGCGTGATATCTCAATTAACTGTTAAGTAATTTTTTAAAAGAATACACAAATTTAAATCTTATATTATTTAATTTGTTTATAATAGCAATGCATTCTCTAACCTAATCTATATAGATATTTTAGGATTCTACTATTGTTAAGTATAAACCAATATTCAAGGAATTTAAAAAATTGGCTAGAATAAATTGATACTAGATTTGTTTATAAAAATGAAATATTCATAGTTGTTTGATTAGATATAAAAATAGATTTATAAAAATTAATTTGGATATTTGCTATATATAAATAATGAGGCTGTTTATATAATTCTTTTTAGATCTTTTTTAAACTAGGCTATAAAAAAAATATTATTTATATATTCTAGAACAGATATTAAATATTGTAGTTGCTTAGTAGAGAGTAAGATTAAACTAGTAATTTAAGCTATAAGGTTTTAGTTAGCTAGCTAAGCTAGCCAACTAAAATATCAGCTAATTGGCTAGCTAAATACTATACTTCCAAAAATTTTCAGTAAACTTAGCTTGTATTTTATATTTACTTATTTTCCTTTTTAGAATTTACCAGAATCCTATTATATACTAAATCATATTATTTTTAGTTACATTAGCTAGCTAATCATATTATATTAGCTAGCTTAGCCAGCTAAGCTAACTTAGTTGTGGCTGCTATATAGTTTAAAATATTAGATTAAACCAAATTTTTAGAATATACACATATTATAGCCTGGTAGATATAATAATATTAAAAAA